TGGCTTTTGTAAATAGTGCTGCAGTGAACATTGGGGTGCATCTGTCTTTTTCAATTATGGTTTTCTCTGGATATATGCCCAAGAGTGGGATTGCTGGGTCATATGGTAATTCTATTTTTAGTGTTTTAAGGAACCTCCATGCTGTTCTCCATAGTGGTTGTATCAATTTACATTCCCACCAACAGTGCAAGAGGGTTCCCTTTTCTCCACACCCTCTCTAGCATTTATTATTTGTCGATTTTTTGATGGTGCATTTCCTAGTTCTTTAAGGTATAAATTCATGTTGTTGATTTGGGAACTATTTTTTTCATGTAAGCACATACAGCTATAAATTTCCTTCTTACTGCTGCTCTCACTGCATTCTATAACTTCATTTGTCTCAAGGTATTTTCTGATTTCCCTTGTGATTTCTTCTTTGATCCGTTTAAGGTAATAAAACAGTTGATTTCCACATATTTGTGGATTTTCTAGTTTTGCTTCTGTTGATTTCTAGTTCATTTCATTGTGATCAGAAAACATACTTTATATGAGTTTAATCTTTGAATTTATTAAGACTTGTTTTGTTGCCTAACATATGATCTATCCTGGAGAATGTTCCATGTGCACTTGAGAAAAGTGTGTATTCTGCTGTTGTTGGGTAGAATGTTCTGTTAATGTCTGTTAGGTTCGATTGGTCTGTAGTGCTGTTCAAGTTCTCTATTTCCTTATTGATCCTCCATCCATTAATGCAAATGGGGTATTGAGTCTGCTATATTACTGGGTTAGCTCTGATTTTTGGTGCATGTTTCTAATGTTATGTCATCTTGGTTGGTTGACCCTTTTATCATTATATAATGTCCTTGTCTTGTAATAGTATTTTTTTCTAACATTAGTGTATTTGTTGTTTTAGACCATTCATGGAATCTGCTGGGAAAAGAGATTATGGGATGATAAAGTCCCATTAACATTGTCATGAAGGTAGATGAGATGGAATCATTAAAACTGAGAAGACTAGCCTTAAAACAGGAAGGCAGCATCTGTCTCCCCTGAGAGGGAAAGGAAGCTGGGATGGACAGAAGGGATGATGTATGTGAGAAGTGGATATTGAGAGAGTTTAGGCCTGCCTCTGAGGCACCTTGGTAAATGAGTGAGTTGGCCCTGTCAGAAGGGTTTGGGCAGGAGGATTCAGGAGACAGGTGTAGGAGGCGGGTAGGATTTAAGGGGGAGAAAAGTTTCCGTATGTTTATATTAAGGGGCATGGTGTAGCTGTGAGGAATGAATAAGTTAGTTGCCAAATTAAGACCAAGAAAAATACCCCCAGACGCTCAATAAGAACAGAGATTTTCCCTATCCTCTTCCCCTTTAATATGTGCTCTGGTTTTTTTCAGTACAAATACCTGAAACGTAAAAGTGAGCCTCATGTTAAGATCGAAGGGAAGGACACAGATGACTGGCTCTGTGTGGACTTTGGTAAGTTATTTTGGCACATTCTACAGATAAATATTTGATATTGCACTAATCTTGAACTGTTTTCAGTTGTAAAAGGATTGAGATCTGTGTTTCTCCACATACATTTTTCTTTTTAACTTGAGAATTTTTTTATACAGCAGGTTCTTATCTCCACATACAATTTTTGAAGTGTGTCTAAAATAAGTTTTCTTATAACTTAGTTGGTCTTATTCACATGTGAAATCCTCATGTCACATGGTATGTATGTAAGTTGCCATACAGGTCAGAAAGCTGGTGGAGAACAGGATGGATAACATGGGAGAGATCCCCTAGTGGTGGTGGAAGGCACCTTGGGGTACACATAACCTTGGCCTTAAATAACTCAGATAAGGTGAAGGGCATTCTAGGCACAGGGAAGGACAAGAGCAGAGGACTAGAATTTTGAAAAGATTTAACAAATTTGGGTATTAATACATACATAGTTTCAGAGTATTTCCCCAAAAGATAGTTAATACAAAGGGAAAAACAGTAACTGAAGAACTGGGAAGGGTCTGAGATTTTATCTTACGTGTAAGCTAACAAGTTAGTCAAGGTTTGATGAAGCACAGTTTGTTACTCAGCAATAGTAGCAGCCAGCATCAAGCACCATTTTTGCACCAGGGTCCCTGAGCAACACAGGACCAGATGACACCTGTAAAGTTCTAAGAGAAGAACCCTGAGATTAGGGTATCTACATCTTTTATAATGGGCAGGAAGCAGGCCTGCATTTGCTCTGGTGGAAAACACTTTTTCGGCCAAGGCTGTATGTCAGGGTTTCTCAGCCTTGCCACTATTAACATTTTTGGCCAGGTAATTCAGGTGCTGAGGAACATTCTGTGCATTGTAGGATGTTCTTCTCTTCTCCACCCCCCCAACTGTGAAAATCAAAAATGTCCCTTATTGAAAACCACTGCTGTAAGCATACTTGTGCTTTGATCCAGAGGGAGACAGTAGTTCTGAGAATATTTGCCAACATCCTTAAAAATATAGTCCAGAACAAAAGCCTGTCAGTGTTTTGCTCACAGGCTGTGCAGACAGTCCTTGGAGGACTGTCTCCCAAGCAAACCCCATCACGAGTAATGTTACATATTCATATCATATACCTCCTGTATGATGCACTGAGAAAAGCACAGCGTCACTTCTGTGGTATTTTTGCTGGATGGTGTCCACAATTTGCATTTCTAACAAGTTCTCAGGTAATGCTAATCTGGGGTTCACACTTTGAGAACCACTGTTCTAACTGTCACAGGTTTGTGAGATCACAAGGGTAAAAGCAAATGAACTGCTTCTTCATTGTAAGTCTTATCTGTCCTTGATAGGCAGCATGGTGATTCATTTGATGCTTCCAGAAACCAGAGAAACGTATGAATTAGAGAAATTATGGACCCTTCGTTCTTATGATGACCAGTTAGCTCAGATAGCACCTGAGACCTTACCTGAAGACTTCATTCTTGGAATAGAAGATGACACTTTATCTCTGGCTCCTGTGGAGTTTAAATGTGAATAAAATGGCATGAACTGCTTTAGTCATTTCAGATTTGGATTGAGTCACTTATAAACCCTGCCTAGCTGGTTGTTGTCAAAACAAGTCTTATCTATGGACACTAATCCTAACTGACACATGGAAATTGTAGGTAAGTGAGCTAATTCTCACACTGTGAATCAGTACATTCAAACTAAAATTAATATATTGTCTTTGTTCCTGAGATCTCAGCAGGATTTCCTGGAAGTTGCATTGGCCCCTGTGTTTTACTTGAGCTCTCTGCTCAGAGTTTATTTTTATTTTATTTTTTTGCTGACAAAGCAAGAGACTTTTTTGGGAAGGGGCACCCAGGTGGAGAGCAGGAGGGTAAAGGAACCCAGGAGTACTGCTCCACCACATGGCTCACAGTCTCGTGTTTTATGGGAATGGGGTTAAGTTTCTGGGTTGTCTCTGGCCAATCATTCTGACTCGGGGTCCTTCCTGGTGGCACACGCATTGCTCAGCCAAGGTGGATTCCAGTGAGAAGGATTCTGAGAGGTTGGCAGGACATACAGACCTTTTGACCTTTCCGGAATTCTTCCAGTTGGTAGTATCTTGTTAGTTCTGCATTCCTTACCAGGACCTCCTGTTTAAGATAACTCATGCAGGTGGTTACTATGTTGCCTGGCCAGGGCAGGCAGTTTCAGTGTTTCCCCGACAACTCCTCCCTGAGAGACTTCACACTCAAGATACTTCTTGGGAATCGAGGCGGAGGTCTCTTTCTTCTGTAACTGCTTCCTGCTGAGAGTGGGCGTCGTCCTGCCTAGTAGAGTAGAAGTCTCTCTCTACCTGATCTAAATTGAGGTATTCTGTGCCCCAAACTGGCATTCATCCTTGTAGTAACAGCAGTTTAGTTGAAACTGTTGGACCCTCCCTGTGGGGGATGAACCTTGTAAGCAGTTGAAACAGACAAGGACCAAACAGGAGGCCTAACAGGATGGTCATCACCAGGCCCAGAAAAGGCAGGCAAAATTTGGGGTGAGGGCTGCAGGGTGTGTGACTTTCTTCTGATCGATTGGTAGTGACGTAACAGGACAATGCTCCAGGAATCTTGGCACTCAGCCTGAAGTTACCATCCTCACCTGGGTGGGGGCCTTAGTTCCTGCAGAACTCAAAGATACAGTTATGCATACTCCTTGAGGTGGAACCAGGACCCTGCCCCAAGGCTGTACCACTAGTTGACAGCTCCTCCCGTTTTTTGCATCCCCTCTCTTCCCTGATTAGCAACTGTTTGAATCTGCCCTTTGGAACTCAGGGAAGGTCAAGGAGGAAGGTCAAGGAGGCTGAGTGAAGCCTATATCCTACAAACAAGAAACAGGGGACACAGAAAGGATTTGTACTCTGGAGCCCCCCAGAGTCCTGCCCAGTTCCAGTTCAGGGAACTAACTGGGCAACAGTGCTGGCCACTTCCTGCTACAATAGGGCATAGTCCTGTCTCAATTTGGAGAATAGACACTGGACTGGAAATATCTCTGATTCCCGATTCCTGGATCTGAGTCTTGTATGATTAAAATCTTAATCCCTTGGTCTGCCATTTTGGTGTAACAGACCCAATCAGAAGTAGCTGGAGGAGTGACAATGGGATTTTAATAGGGAAAATAAACGTCATTTCTTTTCAGGAGAATAAGCCTGAAACACAGTCTGGACCTGGTGCTTTGGGGAGACTTGTAGCCACGTAGCCAGTTGTCTAGTTTTATTGAGGTAGGTTTTAACTTTTAATGTGGTATTAACACATAGGTAACAGGTGCTATTGGTCATCAAACATGTCTCTTCTTTTTGTTAAATGTATGATCTAAAGCAATTCCGTTGTCTAAAAATGTAAGTTATGGGCTTCCCTGGTGGTGCAGTGGTTGAGAGTCCGCCTGCCGAGGTAGAGGACACGGGTTCGTGCCCTGGTCTGGGAAGATCCCACATGCTGCGGAGCGGCTGGGCCCGTGAGCCATGGCCGCTGAGCCTGCGCGTCCGGAGCCTGTGCTCCGCAACAGGAGAGGCCACAACAGTGAGAGGCCCCCGTACCGCAAAAAAAAAAAAAAAAAAAGTAAGTTACAAGAGGAGACCTTTAAAAAGTAAGGCTGCAGTTATCAGCTGCCAGCAGACATTATTTTGAGAACGGCTGGTGGCATCCAAGTCTGACACAGCTCAGAAAACTCAGGTTCTTAGCAATACAAGGATTTGCCTGAAGTCACACCCACAGTGTCATCTAGTTATTTCTTGGATGTCTTAAACCATAGCTACTCCATTTTGACTCTTAATTGTAATATTCCCCTTAATAGCCAAAGCAGATGTCACCATTAATGATGTTAGTGTTTCTCTAGGTAGGAGAAGAGCAAGAATCTGGCCCATAGAATCTTCTCCTGAAAATATATCTCTCTCTGAAGGCCTGTTCTGCCAGTTTTTCCCAGAGCACAGAGTGCCTCATTCCTGTCTCCACCCTGAGCTCCTTTCAGGGGGTGCTGAAGGTCAGCAGCTGCAGCGGCTCGTGATTTAATCCTTCTAGAGGCAGACGGCAAGTGCCAATGGCGAGTGCCAATTTCCAGTCAGCAGGGCCCCTTCATGGTCATAAAGGTGACCATGGTTTGGGGGGCATTTCATTCCACAGTGCTAGGAATGCTCATTCCCAGGCCTAGCAAAGTGTTTTCCGAGTTTAAATCTTATCCTGTAGAACGGTATAGCCAAAAATTTAAAAAAATATATAGCAGAAAACATAACCACCCCACTGGTCCTGTAACGTAAAACCTTTAGTTCTCAGTTCATATGTAACAGTAATATCTAGGTTCACAGTCAGGACATTGGTAGATAGTGGTGCCTACCTTGAGATTGACATAGCCTTACTAAAAATCTAAGTTTTACACTTTGACCAAATTCAGGACATTCACATTAATTTGAAAAGCCAAAAATACATACTACACAGCAGGCTGCACCTGATAATGAAACACTTTATTCTGCATCAAGGTATCTGGAAAATGAAGCTGCATTTGGGGCACGTTACAGATGAGGAATGATCCATATGTGGTGAGTACAAAACTCAATTACAACAGAATTATTTCCTAGTATTACCAGATACTCCATTACCAATGCTTAATTGAAAGTAAAACATGATTTGCCACACTAGAAGGCTAGAAGTGAAACATGACAGAATTTAAACAGGCAGATATAAATGTAGCACCTATCTGTATTTAAAAAAAAAAAAAGTTGGAAAAATCAAATACTGAGGAAGAGCTCTGGCCTTAAGCACATTTCACCCAAAATCCAACCAGAAAGCCAGTCCATTACTTTTTTTTTTTTAAAGCAATTCATTGTATGGAAGAAAATGATGAATGCTAGATGAATTCAGTGACAAAAAGGGCACTTTTTGGCTAAAACTACAAAATAAGCTGATTTTCTGAAAACATTTAGGAAAACATTTCAAGTCATTTTCAAAATGTTTAAAGGATACAGTGATCTTCAGAAAAACTTACCTAGTCTGTAGAAATTCATCTTGAAATACAAATGAAGCAAAATGATTTAAGGGTTATTATATATGCCCTTCAGATCAGTATAATATAACGACTGTGATCATTTAATGAACAAAAGAAACACAATTCTGAGAGCAGTGTGGCCTCGGAGACCACCCACACCCACATAACTGTACATACCAGGCTTTGCCATCAAGGTAGGAAATGGGCGAATGCGTTCAGTATCAAAGGTCAAATGTATTATTATATCACAGTCATTCAAATTATATTCCAAAAGTTGTTCTTGTATTTTTCTACCTTTTGACTTATTTTCAAATAACTGGTCGCAGAGAATACAGAAATCCTGCTGCAATTTATGTAATATTCTAGGTGGCCTTTCATTCTTCTTGATTTATCATTGCTTAAAATCTTCAAAATAGCTTAGTGTGAGGCTCATGACAGTGCCTGGCACGGGGAGATGTAGCCTTTTTATTGCCTTTAAACACTGTCACACCGTCTGACTGCCCCATTGGTCTTCACAAAGCAATTCTTTTGGGGTCTGCTCCAAGCATAGACCAACTGGTCTGAAATATATTGGCAAACTAAGCATCCTGTAAGGCAAGCTGAAGCTTTCTTCTTGCCAATCAATTTAAAGTTCACAGGAGCTGCATGTCTCCATAGATACACTTGCTTTAGGTAGTGATAGTCAAAAGCACAAAGCATTTATGCATTCAATCACATAGCCAAACAAAAAAACCCTGAAGTCTCCTGAAGCCATTTATTAAAACTAGCCGTTCCAAAACCTCCTGCAGCCACTTTGCTCTGTTAGTACCATCAAAAACTTCCCTACCATAAACAAAAAAATAAATGGTATTTGCTGCTCTCCAAATATAGGCACTGCTCCGTATCACTGAACGTTTACTGGATTTTCCAACTAATAACTGTCAAAAGCCTCAAAAAACCTGAAATTAATTTTCCAGCTTTACTGTCACCAGCCAGAAGTAAAATTTTTTTCTCAGTTATTTGCCTGTTAGCTAATTTTATTTTTAAAAAACAGTTGGACTTATCTTTATAAAGTATATAAAATTTTCAGAAAAAAACAAAACAATTTTGCTTTCATTGCATTACTGAATACCTGAGGTAGTTGAGTAAAAATGCACATTTAATACCCCTGCCAACACCATTCAGCACTTCCCTTAGGTTATTTGTGTTAGTGTTAGATAAAACTGAGAACAGTTTTTCTATGCTAACAGCTTATTTAAGTTCTTGTAATAATCCTATTCTGATCCAATTTTAACAATTGGACATAGGAGCAATCTATTTTTATTTACTTGATGAATTTAGTAAATGCACCATTAAGCCAATTTCTGGCATTATGGGGGAATGAATATTAAGAAAAATTAGAATATTTGTTATACTGAGAATACAACAAAAGGGAAGTGCAGAGCTCCTCTCTTTCCCTCCCTCACCCCCTAATTTTTTTCTTTTTTTAAAGCTGGGTGTCATACATTTCAGAGAGCATAAAGTATACATTCTCACAGAGACAGGAGTTCGAAAGTTGCCTGGTCCTCAGAAACAACCGGCTAGGTAAAAACTTGTGCATGTGATTCTGGATAGGGGTTCAGCGCCCGTCTGTTGGTTAAGCAATCTGTCTTTGGTTTGACATCTGCCTCTGTGGTGGGCTGTCTCCTGAGCCTTCACTTCCGTCTTGACTGAGGTGGTCCACTTTGCAGAGCTTTCTGCTGTTGGTGCTGCTTTACCTGAGTCAGAATTTCCTGAATTTTTCTCTGGGCAACCTGCAGTAGGAGAGAGCTTTGAAATTTCTACCTGATCAAGTATGACCAAAAGTTAAAGTTAATTTACTCTTCCATTTCAACAACTTCAAATTGAAACTTATTTGAAGATTAAAGATACATACTTATTAGTTTCTCCTAGCAGAGTCTCTGAAATCACCTGCTTAAAGGGGGATTAAAAGTGTTAAGCACCAAGCAGCCTGAAATATTTATATGACATGGGGACACGCATGGGAGGAGGATCACTCAGGAAGAAGGAAGAAGCAGAAGAGCTCACTTATCACACTAGAGCCCACTTGCCTGGCAAGCATAGAAGTGACCAGTTATTTTGACCACCACTTGGTCATTCTCATCAGGCGTCTGGTCACGAGGGACAACAACTTCTGCGCTTGACAAATTCTGGAGCTCATTCACCTGAAGGAGATAAATACAAATCATGTTAAGTGGAGTTGTTCTTTTTTTTTTTTTTTTTTTAATTACCATTTCCTTACTGTGTAACCAAAATACTGAGCTTTGGCTTTATATTTATAATCTCATCTAATAATACTAATAATTCTATCCGTTTACTAGTATTGTCCCCATTTCAAGGTAATTAAAACTAAGCCTTAGTGAAAGAAACTGACTCGCCCACAGTTGCATAAGTTAATGACACAACCAGATTCAACCCCTGAAAATCTGATTCCAAAATACACACTTTGAATCACTTCAGAATTGTAAATAGCTTTGAAAATGACTTGGAAGTTTTATGTGTTAGAAACTGGAAACCATTTGCTTTTTTCAGTTACAGAGGTATAAGTTATAAATGTAGATGAAATTTTTTAAAGTTTCTTTTCATGTCATTAAGTGTTTGCACAATAAAAGTAAAAAGCTGATGTATAACAACAGAAAATGCAAAATGCCCCTTATAAATATGAGACAGTTCTCCCATACAAAGTGGTCTGAAAGAGAGGCACTGCTTTCACTGGTAGCTGACACCAACACCCAGGAGGAACAAAAGGCAGTCTTCTCCAAACCTTGGCCCAGACGGTCCTGCTTTTTATAAGTTAGCCAAAATTTAGGGACTTGGAACTCCTAAGTACCTTTCAACGCTTTCCCTTTCATACCACTGCACAGGTTTTGCTGAAGTACTTGCCGTTTTGCCTCCTTTTCCAATAACTCTGCCAGCAGCAAAGGATGGCACTCTGATGTGAGCTTCAAGTTTCACCTCTTCTTTAGGACTAACAAAGTTTTCTTCTTTAATTTTTCCATAAATTCTTCCCTGAGCCTACAGATGAGAACATATCTCATCAGTGTCATTCATGTAGGAAATGCAAAAAGGTCCATTAACTTTAAAGATGGCCCGGATCCACTGGAACAGACCTTTGCAGTGATACATCTGCATTTGATAGATTGTGGAACGTTGCACAAGAGGTGGAAAAGTAAGGAAGTCCTAGAAAAGGTTGACAACAATAATAACTATACATCACAGATGAGGCAACTGAATGATTGATAAAATAAGATTAAACCATATTCTTCTGACAAAAACGGTTAAAGGCAATAAGTTAGCAGTCAGCCGAACTAAAATTTTTGCAAATGACCATTTGCTCTCCAGTCTTGAAAGGTAAAACCTCTCCTGTTGGCAATAAGATAGTAACTGCATTTTTCTTGAGTAAAAGGGACTGCAGAGGAACTACAGAGCCACCTATGCGAGGCTCACAAGAAGCCAAGCCGCTGTCTAAATGGGCCAGCGAGGAATTTTCTAGTTAAACATTTCTTCATCTTAGCCAGATGGTTTCTACTTCGACTAAGGCTACAAAATCAAGTTAACATACACATCTGACAGTTATAGTCAAACACATCCTGTCACTTGCTGCATACAACTAGAAGTTATACATAATAAACCTCTCCTATTATGTACAACCATTAATTTGCTCTGGTATACACCAAAGGAAAAAGGAGTCAGAGTTGGTTTCATCTGACAAGCTGCCACAGCAGAGAACAAAAACAAAAGTACCGAACACGTTTTCACTGGTGCAGAAATGATAAGCTCATTTTAGGGGGTTACAGAAAAAAAAAAAAAAATCCATCTTAGTACCCTGTCTTCCATTCATCCTCAGTCTCAGGCCACAGATGTAGCTATCAACACAAAGGACACAACGGATATACATTGTCCTCCGAAACAAGCTCTTGAATTCATAAGAAAAAATATGGGTTAGGAGGTTTACTATTACTTAGATGTCTAAAATAAAATAATTTGTTATTATGACTGATCACATAAATGACATTTAAGCATTACAGCTTTTCTTAAATGTCCCATTTAAGACAACTGAACAATACAGGCATAGGAGGATACAGGGAAACAAACTCTGAATTCCCCAGCATACAAGCATTATGAAAACTGCACGATAGTTAATTCCATTTGTAGAATAATAAGACCATAATTGATGTTTGTATTTATCTTTTAGTATTTCAAACTAAAAGTGACTGTCTCTGTAAGTCTGGGATAGGAAGCAATTTTCAGCATCTCTGAGTTTTGATCTGAACTGCCTGGACCACAAGGCTGGTATGAGGAAGTAAATTTCTTGACCCAAGTTTGAGGCTAGCCAACTGTACCCCACATCTCAAAGCGCCTCCTTTTGTTTCCTGTTCTTCCTGTAAATGAAGTGAAAAAAGCTTCCGATTTTTAGTGAAAAATAGAGGTCAAAGAAAGTGATGGCTTAAAAGGAGGGAAGAAGTGGGCACTTGTTAACTTAGCCACATTTTAGAGCTAAGAGAAGTAGGTTAAAGAGTTATCCTGTTAACACAGCTGCTAAGTGGTAGGAACAAGACAGGAGTTTTGGATAAATTGCACTGAATTGAGTAGCTGCTTTTACCTATGACAAACAAGACACCCTACTGAGTTTATGAGAGAAATCACATACTCAAAGGTATACGTTTGTGAATTTGAGGATCTGGCAGGGTCTTAAGTCTGATTCATCCCAAGTCTGCTCAGCACCACCACCAGCACATTTATGTTGTACTTCCTGTGTCAGGCACTATTCTAAGCAATTCATATATTGTTTAAACCTTATTTAAACTTTGTGGGTGTTTTTAACCCCGATTTTATAGATGAGGAACTAGGCAGAGAAAGGCTAAGTAACTTGCCCAAGGTCACACCACTGGTAAATGGTAAAGCTGGGCTTTGAACCAGCAACCTGGCTACCAGGTCTCTGCTCTTCATCACCCTGCTACACCACCTCTCAGGACATGGTGGGAGGCATTCCAGCCCCAAAGGCCCCAAACCCCAGTATGACCAATGGTTCACACCAGGACAAATGCTGTAAGAGTTCCTGCCATTTCCACCTCTAAAATTCAAAAGATTAGAGTGGCTTGTTGACCGACTGTGGACAAGGGCTAACGGTTAACCCAAGGGTAAGAGCAAACAGGGACATTTTAATTCAAGGTTGAGGCCTCTCTGGGACAAGAGGAAAAACTTGAGAACAGCAAGGCATATGAATCAGACTTGTAAATTTCAGTCTTAAGGTCTCACCTTCACACATGCTAACAGGGCATTGAGCAAATTCTCCTTTGGGAGATAGTCAAAACCAACAACCATTACAGAACTCTCAAAATTAACCAAAGGCTTTGGTTTATTTTTAAAGTGTAATTTGCGGTATGTTTCTACTCTGTTCTTAGTCTTAGAAATTTCCATTGAGAGATTCTTTCTACTGAGTATTAGATTTTTTTTACAGGAGAAGCCAGGTTATGGATTTCCCAAGAAGACATCCATTCATTTGTTACCTGTGCACACACTCCAGAGCACATACCTTGAACTGAGCCTCTGGTGGCCCAGTGATAATCACCATCCTCACTTTAGCATCTGGTGCTTCAGCTGGAGCGATCTGTAACAGACCCAGTAACGGGTTATGACACTTCCAGGTGCCACCAATAGAAATGTTACACCAACCAGCCTGTCATTTGCACATGACTTACTGAAATGTAGAATGAAAGCCTTCTGGAAGGTAGTTACATGAAGCAGTGATTAATGTGGATTCATTAGTTATGGCTCCTGCCATATACTGTGTACTTACACTGTGCCTGGCCCTAATGTAAAAGTCCAGATGCAGCCTCTACGTAACCCTCACTATTTCCTGACGAGGTACTGCCTCATGGAGAGGCCAAAGGCTGGAGAAGGTGAGTCACCTGGCCCATGATCACACAGTCCAGTGAAGCTGGAGGGAGAGCTGGGTCTGGCTCCACCATCACATTCCTTGTCACTACACCAGTGGGTGCTCAAAGGGTGGTTCTTAGCCCACGCGCATCACAACACCCTGGGCCTCCTGTGTGTGCAAGAAACTGCTAGGTTCCCAGTCTAAGGCTATCGGTACATTCCCCCAAAGTACACTCGCTGGACTAACATATGGAATAAACTAACATTAATTTGGCAGAAGAAAAGTGAACTCAGCCTCTTCTATTTTGGCAGAGCGTGTGAAATCACACAAAAAGCCTAGGCTAGGGAATTGTTGCAGAGACTGTTGAAGGGGGAGGAAACCAGCATTCCCTTAGTAAGAAAGCATTTGGGGAGTTGGATGGTAGAAAGTGTTTTAAAAGAAAAAATTTTGCTAGATATTTGCTGTGCAAGAAGCAATTCCCTATAGTAAATAATGAGAACAGGAAGCAAAAAATACAATAAAAGCCATCCCAACTACCACCCAGTATGATCACTGTCAATTACTTATAGTCTAGTAGGCCCTTCTCCACACCTTCATAATCAAAACAATGTTTTTTACTTTTAATAGACTCATGCTTCCTCCCTCAAAATAAAGCTGACATTTCTGTTACTTAGACCCAAATTAATACTATTCCTACTTTATTGCTGGGCACTAATTTTGAGTCTGTAAAACAAGCCAATAATTACTTCCTTTTAGACCACACTTAGGATTATTCACAGGAAACCCCAAAAAGAAGGTATCATTCTTCATCTTTCTGACTAAGGTTTCGTTTTTTTAAAAAGGATCTTTGTCAACACTGGTGATAGAGGGCTGGGGCTGAGGACACTTGTACACTGAGGTTAGGAGTACAAATTGCTACAATCTCTCAAAAGCACATGCCCTGTGACTCACCAAACCCACTTCTGTAGACTTACGTTAAAGGATAAGGTTATATATGACAGTTTGACCAAAAGAACTCTGTCTACCCCTGTGCAGGTTAAATTAGGAACAATCTTAATGTCCAGTAAGTTAACACAAATGATTATGATTTGGTAATACCAAATATATGCCTGTTAAAGTAAGTACATATATGGACATTTACATTATGGAAATGCAGCGAAGTGTTAGGAGTGCTGATGAATCTTTCAGATAATGCATGTTTCAGACTTTTTGGAAACAAAAATATTTTAACCTCATCATAAAACCTCCATTAAAGCCAGAAAGGAAAAGAGCCAAACGTCTAAATACCCAGTTCTTCTTGTTCATGAAATGTTCGTCGCAGTTTTTCCAAAACAAAGCTGCTAGGTTCTTTTTGCATGTGTGAGCATGTTTTACAGATTAACTCAGTAATCAGGAAACTAACAGGATAGTAAAGTTAGTTCACCCCTTGGTCTTTTATCATGTCTTTTCCTTTACCCATTTATTTATTTTGGCTGCATTTTCTGCTCACGTTATTTTGTTATCTTTTGCTACAAGAGAGAATATGAGGGCTTTCCTGTGTGTTTTGTTTTTTTATTAACTGTGTAGTTTACATACAGTAATGCTCACTCCTTTGGTACCAAATACATAGTTGTAAATACCACCACAATCAACATAAAAACAGCTTCTGTCACTCAAAATTTCCTCATGCTGCCTTTGTTTTCAATCCCTCCACCTCCAACTCCTAGCAACCACTGATTTTTTTTCCCCTCAATTTCCAGAGTTGTCTTTTCCAGAATTTTCATATAAGTGGAATCATACAGTATGTGGCCTTTTGAGTCTTCTTTCTCTTAGCATAATACATGTGATTCACTCAAGTTGTTTTATGTATCAACAGTTCCCTCCTTTTTACTGCTAAGTAATTGTTATATAGACGGGCCACAGTTTATGCATTTGCCAGCTGATGAACATTTGCTTCTTCCCCATTTCCCAGTTATAAATAAAGATACTATAAACATTTGAGTGCAGTGTGGTTTTTTTGGTACTATATTCAAATTTAAAATTTCATTAAATATTTATAAAATTGGACTTCCCTGGTGGCACAGTGGTTAAGAATCCACCTGCCAATGCAGGGGACACAGGTTCAAGCCCTGTTCTGGGAAGATCCCACATGCCGCGGAGCAACTAAGCACGTGCACCACAGCTACAAAGCCTGCGCTACTGAGCCCGTGTGCCGCAACTACTGAAGCCCGCGCGCCTGGAGCCTGTGCTCCGCCAACAAGAGAAGCCACTGCAATGAGAAGCCCGCGCACCGCAACGAAGAATAGCCCCCGCTTGCTGCAACTAGAGAAAGCCTGTGCGCAGCAACGAATACCCAATGCAGCCAAACATAAAATTATTTATATATATATTTATAAAATGTAACCAAAATAAACCCCCCAATAGACCGATGTTTTCCTGAAGAAAGCTATTACTTTTATCAAGCCTTTGTCAATTTGTATATTCCTTAAAAGGACCACAGCCTTGATTGTTCGGGCACTAAATAGTGTCATTTCGGAGTGTGAGGGACCAAAGCCACGCCCAGGGAAGATGAGCTAGAAGGAATATATATCCGGGAATGCGGTGGGGCAGAACCACCATTCTAACGCTAAATTGCATGCCTGCAGACTACTTTTTCTAGAGAGAGAATTTAACTTACCTTGTGTAAGCTAGTGTTGTTTGGAGTTCTCTGTCACACACTTATGTAACCCCAATATAGACTGCCACATTCAATTCAAATTACAGAGTGGCAGGAAGACTCACATTTCTGTAACTCGCTGTCCTTAAAGCACCAGGAGAGCCACAGCTGGCAGAACAGTACCTTAATAGAAGCTCCTGCAAAGCGAGAAAGCTGTTTGATGTGTTGCCCCTGCTTGCCGATGATGGCGCCGACAGACAGGGCTGGGATGAACAGATGGACAGTCTCTGTTTCTGACTGCTGTTGGAAAAGAAAGGACATACATGCTTACTGGATACAAATCAGGCTGTATCGCTGGCATAGGGAGAGGGGCATTCTCATACTGTTAGAAATGTTAGGATAGTTTTAGGAAAAACCACCACAGTAAGTTGATATGAGTTTACCTAACAGGTCGAGAAAATCTCACATTCATCCTGAAAGTGTTAGCATTTAAAACATCACTTTTCTCTATACAGTTTTTCCTCAAATTTACAGATTTAAAACAGATTTTGTGCCACTTAATATTGGTCCACCAAATGACACCACTGCTCTTACCACACAAATTCCTAGTGGCAGTAACAGCTCCCTCTTCTCCCTGTAAGCTCAGCGTGGAGGCAGAGAGCACGGAGCCCTGAGCACCACAGACCTCCAGAGGGGCCCTGATGCTCAGCGGCAGCCGTTCCACTTCTTTGTCCCTCCACACACCCTCAACAGAAGGCTGTTCCACATGACGTCGTTTACTCACACTATTTGGTAGGAATTTTTTCTATCTTTAGTTTCCTTCCTCTGAAGCAAAGTTGTTTTTTTTTTTTTTTTTTAATAAATAAAAATACTAGTAATAACAGAAGGTTGGTCTGGTTCTTTAAATAAAAGGAAAACCTTTTGCCAATTTACCAATTATAAACATGGAATGAGAAAAAGGAAAGGATATCACAAGACAAAACTAAGATAGAAACATGTCAATAAATCTGAACATGTCCACGACTTGTCTAGAATTACCAAAATCAATCAGAAAAAATTACACTGACCAAATAACTGTTAACCCTGCAATCAACTAGTTAGTTAAATAAAGTGCCAAGCCCAAATAGATTTGATTTTTTGTTTTCAAGCCAAACAGGAAGAATGATAAAAACCCAGTGAAAAGGAAAACAGGAAACTAGAAAAGGATAGGCAGACATGTTTCATGGAGGAAAGTCTATGAAATAAAACATTAATAAATGGGAGCCTACTGCAAATAACATGTTCTCATTTGTTTTACTTTAATACACCTTGGATATCTTCCTGTGTCATTCCTGTGTCCCTACCTCATTCTAAGAACTGTATTCCTTCAGAGGGAGACACAACAGCGGATCGATCTCATCCCTGTTATGTATGTGTATAGTTTTCAATTGTCAACGAATGCATTTGTAATGCTGCAATCAAATCTTTGTACAAAAAAATTGTGTGCCCTTGTACAAGTACCTCTACTGCATAAATTCTTAGCGCTACTGAGTCAAAGGGCCTGAACATTTAAAACTAATAAATATTATCGAATTATCATACAGAAAGGTTCCCACTCAGTCCACACAGAATGATGGAATTCCAGTTAAGACATTCATGGAACATTTGTGTTTTTTATTAGTGGAAGATGGGTAAAAAGCATGCTGAGGTAAAAACTCAGGCTTAAGAGGAAGATAACTATGATCAGGGGGCAGGTGCACACAGCAATCCTTTGTGGTGAGAGTTTGTGAGTTTCCCCTGTGTGAGCTTCTGTGCATTTACACCTCACAACTGATCCAACTGATAGAAACTAAGAGCATTCCCATTTTAAAGATGAGAAAACCGAGCCAGAGAGATTACTTGCACAAGGTCATATGATGACTGGTGTTGGAGCCAAGATTCAAACCTGGGCTCTCTATCTCCTAAGCCATGTTCACAAAAAATGAGTATATACCCCAATTCCAACAGGTATGGGTGTACTTTGCAATATACATAGACCTGCAGGAATGACTGTTAAGAAAAATGTCCAGCGGAGCTCTCAGGGAAGTACTCCCTTCCCTGGTTGTATCACTCTTCTCCATCTGTGTTGGTTTGACTTCCATGAGTCAAAAAAATTTGTAATGTGTAGGTGGTAAAAGCTTAAGCCTTTGATCATCAACATGCTGAAAGGGGCATGAGAGACAGTCCATGAACATTTTTCTTTATTTTGAATAAGGAAAACTAGAGATTAAGAATGATGTAAAGTACTAAATGTAAAATATAGACAGCTGGTGGGAAGCGGCCGCATAGCACAGGGAGATCAGATCGGTGCTTTGTGACCACCTAGAGGGGTGGGATAGGGAGGGTGGGAGGGAGATGCAAGAGGGAGGAGATATGGGGACATATGTATAATTACAGCTGATTCACTTTGTTATACAGCAGAAACTAACATACCATTGTAAAGCAATTATACTCCAATAAAGATGTTAAAAAAAAAATGACGTAAAGAAGGGCAAAAGGTACGAACTTCCAGTTATAAAATAAGTCCTGGGGATGTAATGTACAGCATGGTGACTACAGTTAATACTGTATCGCACATTTTAAAGTTGCTAAGCGTAGATCTTAAAAGTTCTCATCACACTTAAGAAAATTTTTGTAACTGTGCAGTGATCGATGTTAACTAACTATACTTACTGTGGTGATCATTTTGCAGTCTATACAAATATTGGATCACCTGAAAATGTTGTACATCAATTATACCTCAATTTAAAAATTTACCAAAAAAGATGCGTTTAATTGAATCACCAAGGGGCTTCCCTGGTGGCGCAGTGGCTGAGAGTCCGCCTGCCGATGCAGGGGACACGGGTTCGTGCCCCGGTCTGGGAAGATCCCACATGCCGCGGCGCG